AGAGAAGGGGTTTCATCATGCTGTCCAAGTTGGTCTTCAGCTCTTCAGCTCAAGCTATCTGCCCACCTCAGTCTCCCAAAGTGCTGGGATTGCAGGCATGAGCCACCACGCCTGGCCCCAAGAGGCTTTTATTCCTTAAAGGGAAGCACACGATGCTAGTCAAAGCCTTGGTAAAATAACCAGTTTCTTCAATTGTGTCCTGTTGTAAAGGAAAACATTCTTATTGCATTTATCAAAATTACTATATTGCCATAAGAATACTCACAAATAGTTACCAAATCCTGGCAAAACCAGGAAGAGAGAAACAAATATGCTCCAAGTTTTGTTTACAGGTGTGTGCTTTACTCATTATTAAAAGCTGTAAAAAGCTCAAAAGAAAGGTTTTCTTGGCTCTGAAAAACAAAAAGGGATCAGCAATATTTTACACAAAAAGTCAAAAAAGGTTGCTTCAGTCTTCTATTAGTTCAGCCCATGCAATTAACTTCTGTTCTGCTTAATATTCATGAACATTTCAGCTCTCAGTGAGAGTCCTAAAAGTTTTTCCTCTATTCTAACGTCACAATCTCCAAAGTTTTCAGAAACCTGCATTTAAGGGCACCTGCTAAGAGTTTTATAGCTGATTATAAAACCACCATTTAAAGAGGATCAAAAGACAATAATTGTCTGTGGATGACAAAAAGTTTTAGGGCAGCCACAGTTAAAGACACAATTGACAAGGAAATTTGTTACTTCTGTGGCACACAATAATTTAACATGAAAATTATAATTATTACTGATAACATATACTAAGTCATATCAGAATTATAGGAGTTTCACATAATTTTGGAACATATAACAATAACATAAAAATCTTTTTCAAAATAGAAAACCAAATTTCATGTTTGCATTAATGCCTGTTTAATGCTTACGCTAGTTTTTAAATAAAATGTTATAAATTATCCAGTTTTAATTAGTTTGACCATAAGGTTTTAGAAACTTTTTTGGAACCCTTTACAATTTTCCATTAAACAGCAGATTATTTTTCTAAGAAAACTCTGTTGTTTAGACACATGGGCCCAGATTCTGGCCCTGCTTTAGTGTGCTTTTATGTACAACCTACAGAAAAAAATCAAATAATCCCCTTCAAATCTTAGCCAAATTGCTCACACCCACAGAACTTTCTGTACAAGACCAATGCTTCACAAACACTTTTCAACTTGTTTAAACCTTCAGTTTTGTCCCGTTACTCTTTTAGGTTAAGACAATCTTTAAAGCCCTCTGAACTAGACAAAATTACATTCCCTTTGACAAAAACCATATTCCCATACCTTATTTAATCTTTTAGCTAAAGCACATTCTACTTTCCTTACACATCTTGCATGTAAAACTATTTTTCCAGTAGTCTCAATTACATGTTGCAATGTTAACTCTTAGCAACTTTTGTTTTTGGTGAAAAATCTGATAAGTAAGTGGTTTTAATTACATACTAAGTGTGGAGCCTAGGACATCAGACAGAAGTGCAGATAAGGTCTGACCCCAGCATAGCTAGGGGGCATGGCTAATTCCACATGTCCCCAGGCCTTAGCTAGAATTTCTAATAGCTCCAAAGTAGGTAAGTCTAACAATTTTCAAAAGTCAAAGAAACAGTTTATGACCTTAAAGCATTTAGCAAACCTAACATCTGACCTAATTTAGACCAAAATCTAAATTGTGAAGACATTTTTTATTTTATCTATAATCTTTAAAACTGTCTTTATTTCCAAAAGATCACAGAAATCATGTGAACAAAAAGGCATTAAAAAGTTTCTATTTTTCTGACAAAATATTTCATTTAAGTGCTCTTTTTCTAAGCCAATTAGTCTGCGCTCCTTTATACAAACATCATGCATACAACACATATACATAGACAGACAGACAGCAGGACTGGTAGTTGTAAGATTTTTCATTTACCAGTTTCTTAATTGGATTACTGGCTTCAAGGTGGCACCCTTGGAGGAATAGCACCAGGAAAGCATGCCATTTCTAGGGCCTAATAAGAAGGCATGCCTGGAAGGCAAAAACATATCCCCAAAATTAAGGGTGCCAATTTGTATACTGCATCATGGATTCCCCCAAAAGAAGGAAATACTATGGGAGAAGTTAGTGCAATGCTTCTACCATGCGTGTCATTGCAAAGCAACCCAAAGCCAATCAGCCCATTTTGAAATCAGCCAATCCCCCATAGGAGTCTCCTCTCAGTTGCGGGTGGGGATGTTTCCATATCTTCCAGGTGGCCAAGAGAATGCTTCTCTAATCCAAAAATCCAAGAGCCAAGCATCCCTCTTAACTGCCATTAGCTATCCCTTAAAGTGTATTTCCTACTTGGTTATTACACACCAAGACTAAAAGCTCTCCAATAATGCAAAGTAATTTTTGGTACCCGCCAAAGTAAAAAATGTCAGGTGATGTAATGTAAAGCAGAATACAGCCTTAGATTTTGAGAGGGATCTATTCTTTTTCAATTCCTAGGGTCCCATAAGAAAAACATAGGTTTTTCCCAGAATGGGTTCTGTGGCACCTCCTCTGTTTTTCCCTAAGAGTCCCAGGTGTTAGAATTTATCTTAGGTTCTCTCATGTGGGCATCAAGAGTGTTGAGAAGACAAAAGTGGAGAAAAACAATTCAGTTGACTGAGAAGAAAAAAACCTTTTTCTCTTTAGAAAAATAAGATCCAAAAAGAGAAAAAAACAACGTAAAGGTATTTTAAATATATGTACAGTTTGGATATCTGCTTTTAATGAAACTGACTTTAACCATACAGCTCTTTAAAAATTATTTTTAAAATATCTAATTACTAGACTGTAGCCAGGACAGATAGTCAATATTCCATGCTTTTGAACTTTAGCACAGGTAACTTCCCATGTGAAATTAATGTTTTAAATAAGGTTACAATACATGCATAAGGTGATTCAAAGAGATAGTAAGCAGTTTCTTTCTTTCTTTCTTTTTTTCTTTTTTTTTAAACAAGATTTAGAATCTTCCCAAGGTAGTTCAAAGGAAAACTCAAGACGAGAAATCAAAAGTGGTCCACAGGGGAAAAAGAATCAATAAGGGTCAAAAAGTTACACAAATAAACCAGAAAAGACTCATTCTCTAAGCCAAGAATTGAACCCGAGCTGCCATTGTCAAAAGACAAGGCCTTAGCTACTGAGTTACAGCATTGAGCAATTTCTATTGCTCTTCCTAGAAGATGCCTAGAGCAGCCAATTTTGAGCTTGCAAAGGCTTTTAACTGCTCAAGATAACTTTTAGGGTTAACTATGACATGAACCCCCAAATTCCTGTCCTCTGGATGGCAGAGACCAAGAGAAAGTATCCCCACATGGTCACAAAGTTGAGCTCTAAAGGACACAAAACCAGACAGAGCAATTCCATCTGGTATTGGTTTCAGGGACACACAGCAAAGTTTGTAACTCAGCAGCCTGCCAGGCTGGCTTGAAAAGTGGGCTTACAGGAGTCCTATACCACAACCTATTCTGTGATACCCTTCTCTCCATTACAGAATAGCACAGAAAGACAAATTCTTAGCACAAAGTACACCAGATTTGCTTCAACCTAAGACTAGTCTCACAAATTCTTTCTTCTATTAATCAAACCCTTGCAGAGGAGACAGAGATGTTTATCATTTATACACAAAGACACACACACACACACAGGGGGAGAGAGAGAGAGAGAGAGAGAGAGAGAGAGAGCAGAAACTTGACTGGTAAGAAATTCTTACCCTTTTTACCAGCATACCAGGTTTCTGTGTTCCCTTTCTCTGAAGCTTCCAGAAAAATGGAGCAGCTTTTGATGACCCTGCTTACTGTGCCATAGCTGTGGGGACCAAACCCTGTTACCAAAGAAAATAATCCATTTCTGTTTTATGGAACCATAGGCAAAAAAGCCTCTCACTTTCGCAAAATGCTGCCTGATGGGGTGCATGGGGAACTGAATATTTTCCATCCCAGCCGAAGCAAAATACACATAACAAAACAGACACTAGTCACCTCATTCAGCACCCAACATTGATCTGGCAAGGACCAAAGTTTCTCATGTTGGTTCCTATAGTCTTTGATCCACTCCAAGTGGAGAGGGACGTCCTCCAACCGGTAATTAAATGGGTGGTCTCTGGGCAAGATGAAGAGTGAACAGTCACCCCACGTCAGGCCTGTTGAGCTTTCTTCAGGGCTCACCAGATGTAACCTGACTTATGGAAAGTTCTCCAAGTTAGGCCTGCTGGACTTCCATCAGCAATTCCCTCAGAGATCCCCTCAACATATACAAACACACACACAACAAAGACAAGACAGAAGGCCTTTGAGACACAGATTCCAGACCCAGTCACAAACCAAGAGTATTCCTCCAAACAAGTCCCCTATTCTCCATCCAATTGGACACCCCACCAGTAGACATCTCGTGATGGGGCTAAAGACAGACACCCTATGATGGGGCTACAGACAGACACCCTGCAAGGCAACCAAGAGATAGCAGCACCTCCAGAGAGGTTGACAAATAGGAGAAGGAAGGGGCTGTTGGCAGCACCTAGAATATTCACCAAATCAGATAGCCCATAATGGGGCTACAGCTACAGACACTCCGTGACAGGGCTACAGACAGACACCCAGTGATAGGGCTACAGGCCCAGACACCCAGTGGTGGAGCTGGAGACAGACACCCCACCATGGGAGTCAGGAGTGCTGATTGGTTGGGTCGGAGGTGAAATCATAAGGGGTCAAAGCTGTCTTCTTGGGCTGAGTCAGTTCCTGGGGAGGGGCCCCAAAATCAGATGAGCCAGTTTATCCAGCTGGGTGGTGCCAGCTGATCCATCAAGTGCGGGGCCTGCAAAATATCTAAAGCACTAACATTTCATTTTACAATAGTGATGTTATCCCCAGGAGCAATTTGGGGAGGGTCAGAATCCTATAGTCTCCAGCTGCATGACTCCTAAACCATAATTTCTACTCTTGTGGCTAATTCATTAGTCCTACAAAGGCAATCTAGTCCCCAGGCAAGAAGGAGGTTTGTTTTGGAGAAGGACTGCTATCTTTGTTTTAAACTATAAATTAAAAACTAAGATCTCCCCGAAGTTAGTTCAGACCATGCCCAGGAATGAACAAGGACAGCTTGGAGGTTAGAAGCAAGATTTTAGGTTAGATCTCTCAGTGTCTCAGTTATGATTTTTCAATGGTGATTTCACAGACACACTGCTAATCCTCTTACCTAATCCAGTAGACTTTGCCCCAGCCCTTGAAGTTGTCTCCGCCTGACCTGCCCAACAGATAGGGCACAGCCTGTACTTTCACCAATAATCACCCCTTCCCCAAATGCACTGGAATCCCACTGATGACAAGGCCTCATTTCTTCACCAGGATGTGGTAAAGTGTTCTATACAGCATAGAAGCCTCCCAAAAATTTGATGATGAAGACAGATCAAGTTCTGGAGCTCCAATAATGACAAAAAGGGAAGTGTGTGTGTGTGTGTGTGTGTGTGTGTGTGTTTGCACGTGCGCGCATGCGTGCACGTGTAGGTGCAGGGTGGGAGAGCATTACAAGATGTACAAGGCAGTGGAATGGATTTTTGCAGGGATTGCTTATAGAATCAGTCAGGTCCTTTGCTTTTAGATACTTCCCATAGCTCTTAGCTGTGCATGACTGGTTCCTCCAGGAGCTCCTGCACTTAGCAGCTAAGAAGGTCTTGCTTGGAGAGATGAGGTACTTGCCTTCACTTACCCACTGAATTTAAAATCCAGTTTAACCCTCTTTGCTTTGTGGGGTTTCCTCACTGTCTTCTAAGCATGTCCTTCCAACGGGTGAAGCTGAAGGAGAAGACCCCAGGAATAGCTTAAGAGCTGAGGGCCACTTTAAGTAGATACTTCTCAGACTTTAAATTATGAAAACAAAACAGAATCAAAGCAAAAGCCACTGGAATAATGACATAATGGCCACACTGGAGTTGTATTTGTCTTCTCCTGAGCAGTAACACTTTAAAGTTGTCTTGAAGGTTGTTGCCTGGTAGCAGAGATTTGGAGGAGGGGAAGGCAAATTTAGAAATATATTCTATGACTAGGGCTGTTTATAGAGAAGGTAAAAGGATGAATTGATAAGGATTCTGTTTTTTCAGAACAGAAGAATTTATAAGGAGTCTTAAGAAACTGACATTTTAAAAACAAAAAAATCAAGTTGTAAAATGCTGCCTTTGCCTTTGCCTTTGCTGGTGGCCTGCTTGGCACAGCGTCTCTGGGCCTCTGCTTAACTTTCCCAGACAGCACAGCACTTTGAAACACTCTCAACACTGAATACAACTAACAAGTTGTTGATAAATCTCTATGTAAAAACCTATTTGGATTCTTACCTGGCAGGGGAGATGCCATGATCAGGAATGCGGTTTTCCCAGGGCGAGGCTCATCTGTTGTACTCCATAGGTGTGCTTACCCCTGTGATTTCCCCAAATGCGGGAAACTCGACTGCATAATTTGTGATAGTGAGGAAGTGCATTCCTGCTTTCTCCTGGGGAAAAAAAAGAAAAAGAAAAAAACTTATTTGGAGTTTAAAATATAATTAATTAAAAATTAATCCTGTGGAGTCATATATCTAGGGGAGACTTTAACGTATCACAGATACTGGGTCTGGATAACCTACAATAGCCCAGTGTCTGTGATGGGTTAGTCTCCCCTTATCACAGATACTGGGTTATTGCAGGTCTGGATTACATAGTGTATTAACAAGAAAAATCAGTATGCCATACGTCCTTGGTGTTCCAAAGGTCAGAACAGTTATAAAATCCTGACTATGGCTTTCTCCATTGCTTCATCAGCTGTTCAGTTACTCACACCTAGCTATTCACAACAAACGAAAGAAGCAACGAAAAACCAAAAACCGTAAAATTTCTTGAAGAACTTGGAAATAAGGTTGACAATGAAAGTTAAACTAGTAAAATCCATATTCAATAAAAGAGATTAATAGACGCCACCCTAAGGAAACATTAATATACTTTCCATTAACAAACCTGAAGAAAGCACTAAGAAGAGTTAGGAAAAGACAGTCAGAGAGCAGGAATTTTAGTCTAGAACTATCCAAGGAGAGAGGCTCTTTGGTAGTGGTGGCAGTGCTGGTGGCACAGGAAGAATGGAAGCAAGTAGACCGGTTGAAGTTTCTGCTATATGCCAGCTGAGAATAGTGATTTGGACTTGGATAAATGGTGGAAGTGAAGGTAGAGTGAAGTAGACAGATTCAAGATTTATTTTGGAGGTAGGATCCATGGAACTTGGTAAAGGGTTAGCTTATGGGAGTTGAGGAGAAGATAGCAGAAAGGCTGACTCCCAGATTTTTGGCATGACTAACTGGATGGATGAAGATACTCTCAGCTGAGATTTGTTGAGGAGCACATTTGGGGAAAATATCAAACGTGTAATTTTGGGTAGGCCAAGTTTGAGATGGTGTCTTTGCCTATTTTATGTTGCTGTAAAGGAATATCTGAGGCTGGGTAATTTATAAAGGAAAGAGGTTTATATGGCTTATGGTTCTGCAGGCTATACAATAAGCATGGTGCCAGCATCTGCTCAGCTTCTGCCGAGGGGCTGCAGGTTGCCTCCACTATTGGCAGAAGGGAAGGGGGAAGGAGAGTGAGCATGTGCTGAGATCACGTGGTGAGAGAGGAAGCAAGAGAGAGCAGGGAGGTGTTAGGCTCTTTTTACCAACCAGGTTTCCTGGAAACTAACAACCAGCATAATAGAGTGAGAACTCCGTCCCTTTACCTGCCCCACCAACCCACCCAGGAGGGCATTAATCCATTCATGAGAGGTCACCCTCCCTGACCCAAATATTTCCCATTAGGCCCCACTTCCAACATTGGGATCAAATTCCAACATGAGGCTTGGGGAGACAAACATCCAAACTATAACATTCTGCCCCTTTCCCCCCAAACTCATGTCCTTCTCACATGCAAAATGCATTCTACCCCAATAGTCCCAAAAGCCTTAACTTGTCCCAACATCAGCTTAAAAGTCTGAAGTCCAAAGTCTCATCTGAGACTCAGCGTAAATTCCTTCCAGCTATGAGCCTGTAAAATCAAAAACAAGTTATTTAATTCTCAGATGCAATGGTTGTACAGGCATTAGGTAAACATTTTCATTCCCCAAAGGAGAAATTGGCCAAAGAAAGGTCACAGGCCCATGCAAGTCTGAAACCCAGTAGGGCAGACAGGCAGACATTAAATCTTAAAGCTCCAAAATACACTTTGACTCCATGTCCCGCATTCTGGGCACACTGGTTTGAGGGATGGGCTCCCAGTGCCTCAGACAGCCCTACCCCTATGGCTTTGCTGAGCGCTGCTTACATGGCTGCTCTTATGGGTGGGTTGGAGTGGAGTGCCTGAGGCTTTCACAGACTGAGGTGCAGATGGGAGTGGGAGCCATATTGGGATGGAATCATTCATCCAGTTATTCAGCAACTATGTAATAAGTGTCTATGACATGCTGGTACAAGGTGCCGGGGATACAATGAATAAGACAGACACAATCTCCCCTTTAGGGGAGGAGAAGCCATTAAGCAGATAATTGTAGAAGTAATGACTGAAACACAATTATGGTAAGGGCTATGAAGGAAAAGAAAAGAAAACCATGAAAGTGTGTAGCAGAGGAATCTAGTCTAGCTCGAAAGCAAGGGAAGTTTGCCCTGAGGGAGTGATAGCTAAAGCTGTACTTGAGAGTTTTGAGTTTTGACAGCCGTAAGTCTAGGGAGGGAGACAGTATGTTCCAGGCGGAAGGAACCACAAACGTGGAGTCCAAGAGGGAGAGACCATCATGAAAAGTCAGCAGTGTGGCAGAATCCCAGTGAACAAGGGGAGAGTGGCACAAAACAACAAAAACAACAACGGCAACTAGAGCCTGGCAAGTGACCCAACCCAGGGGTTCACATAGATCCTCCAGTGTTTTACACTGTAGGAAATGCCAGGGTGCAAGAAGAAAGGTAGTGAGGAGGCCTATGGCTGAAGACCTTAAGGCAAAAGCTGGAAAAGTATACTTCTGTAAGGTGAGGAGTTCACTCTGAGGTACAAAGTCTATTTTTTTTTTCAAGCAAAAAATAATCGAATAGCACTGACTTTTATTCATTCATGTTAAGTCACCTGAAATGATACCTGTTGCATTTAAATGCTCATTAATAATGTAAAAGACTTAACAAATCCATTTCAATGGATATTCAATATTCCACTTAGATAAGTCACACAGCCTCAAGACAACTCATATAACGTATATAAACAGAGATAAATACCCCCTCCCCGTCAGATAATTTATTCAGCATGTTAGAGCAGTGAAGAATGGTTTTAGTCTTATAACCAAGTTAGAGTGAAGACACTGGCCACATAATACACATGCTCCATTTTTAAAACAATTCTGAGTCTTGGGCAACTGTTCTCTTGAAACCTTACAGTTTCTAAAAGCAGTTATTGTCCAAAGCTGGGAGAACTTAAGTCTTCTCAAATGAGCATGTGAATGAATGGAGGGAGGTAAACAAAAAATAAAATTTTAAAAGATGAGGTCTGATATGGGAGCAGCTGGATAAGAAACTAAAAAAGGGGCATGGTGGCTCATGCCTATAATCCCAGCACTTTGAGAGGCCAAAGCAGGCAGATCGCTTGAGCTCAGGAGTTCAAGACCAGCCTGGGCAGCATAGTGAAACCCTGTCTCTACAAAAAAATAAATAAATGAATACAGAAATACAAAAATTAGTCAGGTGTGGTAGCACATGCCTGTAATCCCAGCTACTTGGATGGCTGAGGCAGGAGAATCGCTTGAACCTGGGAGGCAGAGGCTGCAATCAGTGGATAGAGAGAGAGAGAGAGAGAGAGAGAGAGAGGAAGGGCGGAAGGTAAAAAGGAATATCAATTTAAAGTTTATTTCAGCTATAATGCAGGTTATTCTGACATTCCTCACATGGCATACTTCTAAGTCAATTCTTGAGATATTCTGTTGTGTTTATCTCTGTCTGTTTATATAAAAAGGCACAGTGAGACATTTCTAAGCATGGCAAGATCTCAAGAAATATTGTTTCCATGAGCCTTCCTTGAGGAAACTGCTAGAAGATGAACTTACACCAACCAAGAAATAAATGGGGAAACTATGGCAAAAAGAGAGGTCATCAAGAGCAAGATAGGGAGAAGACGAGAAAATACTCTAATTTCATTATTTAGTTATATTAGGGGATTGATAGATAATGCCTAAAAGAGGAAGATTAAGTGTATAAATTACAAAGACAATCACTAAAACAAAAATATAACCTTTCCAGATTTTCAGAAAAAATAAAATCAAATACCACAGCATCAGAATTTTTAGGAATCTATGAAATAATAGAAGGCATCATATAAAATTATATATATTATATTAATAATTAAGACCAAGAATGTCAATTTGATAAATATAAATGTGCTAAGCTAATGTATTAAAATAAAAGAAATTTCAGCCAGGCGTGGTGACTCACACCTGTAATCCTAGCACTTTGAGAGGCTTAGGCAGGAGGATCATTTGAGCCCAGGAGTTCATGACCACCCTGGGCAACATAGTGAGACCCCATCACTATTTTTTATTTTAAAAATAGGCCGGGCGCAGTGGCTCAAGCCTGTAATCCCAGCACTTTGGGAGGCCGAGACGGGCGGATCACGAGGTCGGGAGATCGAGACCATCCTGGCTAACATGGTGAAACCCCGTCTCTACTAAAAAATACAAAAAACTAGCCGGGCGAGGTGGCGGGCGCCTGTAGTCCCAGCTACTGGGGAGGCTGAGGCAGGAGAATGGCGTAAACCCGGGAGGCGGAGCTTGCAGTGAGCTGAGATCCAGCCACTGCACTCCAGCCTGGGCAGCAGAGCGAGACTCCGTCTCAAAAAAAAAAAAAAAAAAATACAAACTGAAAGTCAAATAAAATAAAATAAATTTGGATTAAATCATAAAGCAAAATCCAACTCTATGCTGTATACAAGGGATCCAAAACAACATCAAACAGAAATCTTTACAAATGTAAATTAGAAGAAAGCAATGGTTATAATTTTTTTTGTTTTTGTTTTTTTCTCTTTCTTCCTTTTTATTTTCTATTACACTTTAAATTCTAGGGTACATGTGCACAACGTGCAGGTTTGTTACATAGGTATACATGTGCCATGTTGGTTTGCTGCACTCATCAACTCGCCATTTACATTAGGTGTTTTTCCTAAGGCTATCCCTCCCCCAGACCCCCACTCCCCGACAGGCCCCAGTGTGTGATGTTCCCTGCCCTGTGTCCATGAATTCTCATTGTTCAACTCCCACCTATGAGTGAGAATATGAGGTGTTTGGTTTTCTGTCCTTGTGATAGTTTGCTGGGAATGATGGTTTCCAGCTTCATCCACGTCCCTGCAAAGGACATGAACTCATCCTTTTTTATGGCTGTATAGTATTCCACGGTGTATATGTGCCACATTTTCTTAATCCAGTCTATCATTGATGGACATTTGGGTTGCTTCCAAGTCTTTCCTATTG